TGGGCTGACCTTTATGTCCAGTTCACAAAGATGTTCACAGGACCCTGAAAGACAGCCTCTGACAGCTGTGTGAGCTTCCTCAAAGAATGTGTGTAGGCATTTGAGAAAGGAAGGATAGGCCAGAAATGGGATATCAGAAAGTGAAATTCCAGGAGCTTTCAGAAGTAGTGTTCCTGTCCTTTTAGCTTGAATTTCGAAAAAAAATTCTACTAGTTCTTGTTCAAAACATTAGTTATAAAATATAAAATTTTTTCTCTACAACTATTCATCACGAAACTTTTTCCCACAACTTTGAGATGCACTATTTTTGGTGTTCCCAAGTCTGGTAATGACACCACATGTGTGAGCTGACATGGCTACATCTGTTGCAGCTTCGGAAAGCTAAGTCTGGAAGCTCTTCAGCACTCTCCCCAGCTCTGATTCCAGGCACAACCTTTCCTTGTTTTCAAAAGAAATTCTGAAATCCCAATGACACGGAGGTGTAAACTCTCATTCATCACAGAAGGTATTAACTCCGAAGCCTCATTATCTTTCCACTTAAATGGCAACAGTGTTAACCTTTTGGATGAGTTGGAAACATCTCACTTTTCCAGGGTAGGCCGGTGGAGCTGTTTTTAGAATGTTCCACATTTTCTAAAGGAGCCCTCTAGAGGAGAAAGAATGCTAGTCTTGTTTGAATATGCACATGGCACCAAGGCTTTGCCCAAAGGAAGAAGTGAATTCTTTGAAAGAGAACTAAAGTTTGCTGGATGTAAGAATCCAAATAAAAAAGTGAATTAGTGGTCATTCACAGGGAAAAAGAGGTGAATATAAAGTTTAAGCCAGAGGTTTTGAAGCAGGGAGGCAATTAGTCTAAGTTTCTCACATAATCCAATATTTATTCAGATGCTAGGCATGACACCAAAACGGATGCATGACTGTCAGCAACATGGGGACATCCCCTTGCAGTTTAACTGAAGGATTTTTATTTTTATTTCTATTTTATGGCAAGAAGTGAAGTCTTCTTAGAATAGTAGATCAAAAATGTACCTTTGGTCTGATAATCACATTTGTAGTAAAATGCAAAAAATAGTTTCTTATTTGCTTTTCCCCGTCATTGGCAGAAATATCTAGTGTATTAGTCAGAATAAAGCTGTTGAAAATAAGACACATGGAGACAGTTAGTTCATCATAACGTCTTGACATTCCTTCTGTCAGAACTGGTCACTCCAGAACAAAGTCAGTCATCAACACAGGTCTTCTGGCCCCAGTGGAAACCAAGAGCCAGCGGTGGGGTCGTCTGCCCCAAGACGGGCAATTAGAGAAGCCATTGTCTGTAGAGAATTTAAAAGCAATAACAAAACCAGCTGAAAGTCAGTCTGCTTTATGTTATTACCATGAGCGGTGATTCTGAACATCTTCAGGGTTCACACACCCCTACTTCAGGGGTCGTTGGCTCCCTCTGTCCAACCCCCTTGATACGCCATTGTCTGCCACCCAAAATGGGGCAGATGCAGAATAAGGCATTGGCTTCAATATATAAGAGGGTATAAAATGTTCTAAAAGGATTCTACACATAGGGTAAGGAAGTTCCTCTGGATTTTGTCTAACATTGCCACCCAGTAGCTGTGGAATGATAATAGAGCTCATTCCTACGGAGCACTCCCCGTGCACCAGGCAGTGGCTAGGGCTGAAGACCCAATGGTGAGGAACCAGACACCATTGCTGCCCTTAGGATGCTTGCAGTCTAGTGGAGGAGACAAAAATCACACCAACCAGTGTAAGGTTGCACCTGTGTCAGGTCTAAGAGATGGCAGAGTGGAGATATTTGACTTGGTTAGAGAGGATCAGGGAGGCCTTTTTTAAGAAGTGGTATAGTAGTTCCTTCGAGATTATTTGTCACACAAGAAACTAAAAATAAATAAACAAAGAGAATTTTTTGCCTACAAGCAGCTGGTCATGTAATCTCTTGAATCTTTGGAATAAGACCCATCTCAGGGGCCACATCCTATATCATCCTAGTGTTACATAGTGATTCACTCCACTGGGCTTGGGACGTGGTTAGAGAACATTCTGCCAACTCTGCCTAGGGCCTCCTCTTGATTCTATAGGCACTCTCCTTAGATCAGTGGTTCTCAGCTCTTGCCTGTACATTACAGTGACCCATGTCCAGGCCCCACCCTCGACCAATGAAATCAGAATCTTGGAAAGTTGAGGGAGAGGGAGAGGTCAGGCACCAACAAGTTAAAAACCAACCCCTGGTGATTCTAATATGCAGCCAGAGTAGAGAACTACTGCCTTAGATGAATGCACTTAATTTCACTTAGTCTGGTAGTGATAATTTAAAATTTTATGTGAAAAAACCTCAGAATGCAAAGGGAATTACTTTGGTGAGCGTATGAGTGCTTGTGTGCACACACGTGAGGGTGATGGTGCTGGGTCTCCTGGCACGTCGTGTGCTTTCCATCTCTGCGGCATGTGGTGGAAACGCAGCAAATGGCTGGAGGGTGGAATTTCTTGGACTCTCGAATCTGATTGCTTGTCAGAGGCAGCCCATTCCCAGAGCCATGGAGTTTGATGCAGAGGCAAATAGCTCGATAAAGAAGCACATTCCTGGCTTTCTCTCTCCACTTCCAATCCTCTCACTTCCCCTCTCCTTTCTCTTCCATTGCTGCTTTATTTAACCTCATAAATTATGAGGCTTTATGTGAAATCTATAGTCCCTTTGAGGAAGCACATTCAAATCATAGATAATGGGATTTTTTTTTTTGCCCTTTAAAAACATAAAAAGCATTGTGAGCACCTTACATGTAAATGGAATGAATGTATTTTTTCCACTAATGTTGAAAATATCCCCAGGCATCTGGTGTGTATGAATGTGTATACATAGAACATGCATAATAAACATATTCCACCTTATGAATATTTATACACAAGATACATATATATTGAATATAGACATACATATGTAAATAGTAGCCCTTGTAAACTATGTGCAAAGTGTGTTTCCAAGCATATGTATCATAGTGCATCAGGAATATAATAAACCTCCCACCAAGTTTAGCATATTTTGAGGTGGCTTTTTCTACAGAGTTGTTTATGGTAGAGTCTAGTTACTATCCATGTATGGGTTTTTTTCATTACTTAAAAGTTTGTTAAGTACCAACTAGAAGTAAGGCACTGGGCATGGCAGAGGAAGAAAGATGAAATAGATGTGGTCCTGCCTTCAAGAGACCTATACCTCACAGAGTGGCTTACAATTCAGTTATGAACAATCTAACAGCATCGCTGCCCATTGGCATCTTACTGCTTTCTTACAGCTGCCTTTTATTTATACATTCCACTTTAAAATGGGTCCCATTAGGCTATATTAACTTAAATCCTGATGTAGCTGCAGAGTAGAACTGATGCAGAGAGAAGAAACATCACTGGTTTCAGTGCCTTGATAGCCATTGGACATGAACAATACTTACACTTTTTTCTGTCACATATAGTCCAAACCCATAACTGCATTTTTACTTTACTCTGATTTGGCAGGAAAAAGAGGTACAATAAAAAGGCACCAAATCCCAGAGATGTTCATAAATGTCAAAAGTGAAACTGAAACAGATAAATCTCTTCCCCCACGAACGTCTTGTAACCCAGATATCATTGCCCATGACATTCCACTTCCAAATTCCATCCAGTTCCCTCCCTGCATTAAGTAGCAGAAGCCTTTATTAAAAGACAAGCTATACATCCTAAACCGTACAAAATATGGATTCCATTCTAAAATGACAATCCCTAGTCTAGCCGAGGAGTTCTGAGTGACACTTGTCAGCAGGCAGATTTCACTCCATTGAAAGAGAAACAATACATAAGCGCTGTCATCGCTATGCCACAGACGTATGCTCATTGTTTTCTCCCCCTCAATCCATACATCACAACAGGTAGTTCTCAGCTGTTCCCTTGGTGCCAGACATACATTTTATCTAAAGAGACAGCAGACAGAACTACCTGCTGCTTCCTGTGCGGCTCTCCCTGTGTTTCTCTCCTTTTTCCTACTTCACTTGGGCTTTTTAAAATCAGCTGGCAGGGAGCCAGGAGCTCATCATTTTAATGCAGTGCAAAATGGAATATGCATAATTATATGCAAGCCATATGTGAGGGAGACAGCTCAGCTGTGAATTTCAGGAGGCCAGGAAAGAGAGAGCAGTTAGGGCTAAGAAGAGATGAGAGCAGAGCAGAGTGCAAGTGTCACCCAAATGAATGGTTTAATGAGTGTGCTAGAGACACGCTTCCTTTCACCTACCTCTCCCTTCTCTCCGACTCCAAACCAGAAACCGATGGAGATTAGAAAGAGAAAACTGTATGCAAGCGGTATTGCTAATGGGTTCTGTTAATGTCTCCATTTAAACTTCAGCTTTCTTAATTAACAGTGTAGATCAAAATAACCAGTAACTTGTAATGCAGCTTCTTAATTAAATCTATTTTTTTTTTACTGCATTTGATTGAAGAATCGTTGTTCTTACTAGATCATTGCTCCTTTCAGATCTTTATTTAAAAATTGAGGGGAATCAGTTTCTCTCTAATAGTATTACAGTGCAAAATATAACTATGCAAATTGCTTTTCTATGGCCTTGCTATTAGAATTTTTTAAAAGTGCATTATCTAGAGATTGCTTAAGCATGCCAAGAAGTTTAAACACGTATGTATGTCATATAATCTGAAATGTGCAACAAAAGCCACTGGAAGACTAAAGTGGTGGTCATTTCCAACAAAATTATTAGATTTTGGTTTGCTTCATATCATTTTAAATATTACACCACAATGAATTTGCATGTTCAAACTAAACTCTGCAAAGAAAAATAAATCCCAAATTTTGATATCTAAAAGGCGTACTGCGTATTTAAACAAACTTCTTAATGATGTTGTTATTTCTGGATTCCCGTTTGTTTAATGATCTGAGCTGTTATGCTTTTAGCTTTTTTTTTCTTCCATTATTTGTAAGTCCCTAAATAGGCCATTATATTTCCCTTCAGGCTAGAGATGAAGATGGACATGCTGAAAATTTCCCCCAGCAGCACTATGCTAAGGAAACTCCAAGGCTTGCCTTCAAGAATAACTGCGAACTACTTGTAAGAATAACATACTTACAACAAGTCTAGAATGTTACTTTAGCACAGTGAAAACAGTTTTTGAAAGGGTTTGTTCATTATTACATAATTTATGAAGTATTATAGTTTTTCTGTATAGAGTTCTAAATGCTAATTCTGATATCACTGAATATTAATTATACAATCTCAAATTGTTTGCATCTCTTTTATATCTGATTATAGAGCTTGGATGGCCCTGTCTTTATTAGCTTGGTTTGTATCGTAGTTTATAAGCATCCATTTGCAGAATGGCTAGTAAAGTTAAAAATATAGAGAAAGACAGTTGATATATGTAGCTTGGAAAGAAAACAATCTCACCCCCAGCCCTCCTCCTACTTCCTAATTGTACACTATTTTAGGAGGCAACATGGTAATATGTTGTTCTGCTAGGAAAGATAGCAGAGTTGACACGCAGTACTCCCTTTAGAATTCAAGTATTCCTACACTGTCTTGCCAAACTCAATCAGGCATTTTCATCTCTCCTCTGTAGAAGTCAAAGCAGCGACAAGATTCGAGGATGTTTACAAGTCGTGAGAGAGAGCATATCAGCTGTGACAGGGACTCTGTTCCAACGCAGGGTTAATTTGCTGTTCATTTTAGCATTTACAGCGAGACAAGCTGAAAAGCAAGCAGGAATGCCTATTATATTTCTATTAAATGAATCTGTTGGGACCTAATGTTCTTGATTAGCTTTTGAAAATGAGTGCTCTGCAATGCATTTTCTGTTTACCTAAAGTAAACAGAGAATGAATTGTCATTTATTTAGAGATTCAAACACTGCTTTTGAAAATGAAGCTTTATGAGGGATCTAGCGATGTTGTCCCTAAGTGTTCTTTTCTTTTCAATTGCATTAAAGCAAAACATTTGCTCCAACTCAGTGAAAACACTGAAAGAGAATGAGGATGCTCAGTTGTTACATTTTGAGGTAGTCTCATTTCTGTTTAGTTTTGGGCCAAATACAGTACAGCTCTGCCAGGTCTCTGTGTTAGGAAATCCCACATGTAACCGTCTTTGGACTTAGCTCTGATACCAACTGTTCATTAAAAACAAAGTGTCCAAAGAGCAGGAGAAGTGAGAAAAATACAGTTCTTACCCATTTTAGCCGCAGTAGCTAGATGTTGACAGCAAGAAACTCCTTTTCCCGCTCCACATTCTGCATGGTTACAATAGCTCTACTCATTCTGGGTGTAGTTCCTTGACCAGCCAATCCACAGGCACAATTCGCTACTTACAAATGCCATTTTTTTCTAAAAATTTAACTCACCTTATATTTTATCTTTGGGCTTTTAAACTTCCAGGCCTGCTAGCATTACCCATTTTAGGGAAACCCTTTCCATTCATTTCTGTTTTAATGCTTCACTCCATAACTATGGTTATCCAGAGGCCATTTAGGCTGTGTTTTGGTATCAAAATGCTTTTGGGAATAGCTCACTTCTTTTTAGAGAAATTGTTAAAAGTAATATGCCATATTTGATTTTTTTTTTTTATTTATTAGAAAAGTGAACACGGTTGAGTCCTCTTTGTGGTCAACTTATACTGGAGGAAGTAAAACAGATATTTGAACATCTTTTCCAGCTATCTTTAGAGAAAATATATGGTTAGTCATTGCTGTGCTTAAACACAATATTGTGTTGGCAGTAGTTTTGAGAGATTGGTACAATCTTCGTCCTTCTAGTCACTGTTAGAAATGCTTTATTTTGGTCAGCATACTTTCTTGTGATAAAAGAAAAAGGAGAATGAAGAGAAAAAATGAGGCAGCTTATTTCTCCAAAGAGAAATTTAATTTTTTTCAGCTGCAGGAGAAGCAATGCTGTTTGGCTGGTTATGAAGCCCTGAGAAGTTATGCTTCTATATCAAAGAGACTTGTTCATTGTTAAGTGAGAAATAGGAAGTCCTTGGAGTTTTCTTAGCGCAGCTTAGAGAAAATTTTAAAAGACTCCATGAAAGAATATTGCAAGCTCTGCTCCAAAGTGCTTTCTTAGCTTAAGGGTGGTTCTGCCATCTTGCGTGGTTTGCTGCAGCAGGAGCAGTGGTGCATTTAGAAAGTGTGGGAGCCTTGTGAAGGATGCCGATGGCTCTAGGCAGAAAGCATTGAGGGCACAGGTTACTTCTAGGCTCTCAGGTGATCAGGACACATGACTGGAAGGCTAACCCTCTGGGCCATAGGTGCTGACAGAATGTGCCCTGTCCAGGTAGACGAGACATTGCTTCTGACTTTATTATTGACTGTTGATTGTCTCTGCCCTCTCCCCGCACCCCCAGCCTCTGATTTTTGGAAGAGGGAGGAATATTAAGTAACCTAAACAAAAGCAAAGTAAAATTGATGCCTAGAATATACAAGTATGTGTAATCAGAAGGCACTGATGAAGAAAGCATTGGCTGATAGAAAAATTTGCTGTGCAACTGTAGATTTCCTGTAGGGTATTGATTTTTCCATTTAAATCCCAAACTGTGATCTGTGCCTTCACACTTATTGTACAACACAGATGACTAGATATTTAGCTTGGTGGCCAAGATTCTTTGGTTGGTGATTTTGCAGTGGTTTCCTTATGCTTTTTATTAATTTTGAAAATGCAAGGCTGTCAAGATGAGTGACATTAGATAAAACTTGAGTATTATTTGATATATCACAATTCAGGGTGGCCTTATCTACCTCTTCATAGATAGGTGTGTACACACACACACTCACACCCCCCCCCCAGGTATTTTGCTGGCATATCTAAATTTATGACCAAAGCAAATAACTTTCAATAGAAGAAAATGTAGGAAATACCCATCACATTAACACTCCAGCAGCATGGCTTATGAGAGCCCAGAAGAAGGAACATTTAGAGCTAGCCATGGGTAACTAGCCCTTGCCCCAAATTCCAACTCCATTGCCGGTCGCTTTACTGCTATTGCCTCATTCTTTTAGGACTAAAAGGCCTTCTCATTTCCTCTGTGAAAATATTCAATATCGATAGAGGGAGTTGGAGTAAGGGCTAGTGTGAGAGGAGGACCTTAGTCATATTGTGAGCTCACACCTGCTCATCAGCCAGTACTTTCTCAGTTCTTGAAAGCCAGCTGGGAGTAAGACATTGCAGAAATATAGCATAAGCTGGGTCCTTGGAGGGGGAAGACCTAAAGCTAGAAGAAGAGGAATGTTGAGAGGGTTTTGGGGAAAGAACTGAAGTCAATTGAGCCTACTCCCCAAGTGGTCTTACAGCCCATCCAGAGAACATCACTGTATTCAGGAAGAAAGTCACAATAGAGTCAAAGAATAGCAGCAACCGATGTAGCGTAATGTGGTTGGAAAGAAACCAGGTTTAGGAAGTTTGAAGGGGGAAATAAAAGAAAGGAAACTTGGGGGAGAATCAGCCTGTCTTCCTCAGTTCCAGAGTCCCGAATCATCATGTAGACAAAGTCTGACTCCCTTTGGCTTTTCTTCAGGCTGCTTGGGCTGGGGGTTTGCAGAGGGAGGGGGAGGGGGCCCACAGCTGGGAGGCTGAATAAAAATAGCGTTGGGGAAAAATTCTTTCTGGTCACTTACAATGCCAGTGTAGGGAGAAGATGAAAACTATTTTAGTGTTGTGGCCTCATGAACAGAGATGGTGTGGGGAGAGGTGCTTAAGCAGTTCTTCTGTGGGCTGATATGTCCATTTCATTTCCTTGTGGAGGCAGACAGGTAGATTATGCGAGTTGGACATAGGCCTTAGGCAGAATGGCTCTGTATTAGTGCAGTGTTCAATTAACAAGACATTATTGAGTATCTTCTACAAGGTATTGTACTGGACAGTGCTTGTCGGGGACACAAAATAGAAAAAGACATAGTCCTTTCCCTGAAGGGGCTCCTGTAGGAAGAACAGGCATATACAGTATTGTCGTCATCAGGGATGTGGGCTCTGAGGTCATCCTGAAGGTTAAAATGTTGCCCCAGCTGGACTTTAATTTATAGCATAACACTCTGGTGGTTTAGGTAAGGATCATAGGCACAAAGGCTTAAAATTTATGGTGACATATGTGGTATCACATCACATTGGATCCCTGTTTTACATCTAGGACCTCTCTGAGCTTCAGATCTTCATTTGTAAAATGTGATAATAAAAGGTAATAACCTCAGAAGATACTGTAAGGATTGAAAGTGCTGATATATTTAAAGTACCTGGTACATAGTAACATTCTGTACATATTAGCTGCTATTATTATTCTCATGATTGTTATCATTACACAGTGAGCTGTGCCCCAAGAGAGCACCAGCAAAGTTCTGGAGGACAAAGGAAGAAGAGATAATTTCCATATACTGTCATTAGAGACTTAACAAAGGAGTATATCTTTGATCTAGGCCTTACATGGGTTGGATTTTGATCGTCGGAGCTGGGGTGTAAGGGAAGGGGGCATTCCAAGCAGAGGGAAATAGCATGGGCAAAGGCAAGGAGGTGGGAAGGTACAGGCCAGGTGACCCACACCTCAGTTGGCATCTAAGTTGGCTGGAGCATAGAGTACCTGAAGGATACGGGGTGAGCTGGCAGGTGGCCCATTTGCAGAGGTCTTAATAACTGACACCATCCTATCAAGTCTGGCCTCTAGTAGTTCTACTTCATGGAAATTCCTAGTACTTCTATAGATTAAAAAAAATTATTATGGAAAATTTCTAACATATACAAAAGTAGTGAGAGTCATATAATGAGCCCCTATGTACTTATCACCCAGCTTCAACAATGATCAACTATTAATATTACTTCATCTACCCCTTTACCCTCTGCCCACCTCACCCTTTTATTCTGCTGGAGTATTGTGAAGCAAATGTGCTTTTGTTTGTTTGTTTGTGAAGACTTTAGCACCCCACTTCTCTGGCTAGCGAGCGTCCATTGACACTGATTAGATTGGGAATTGGAGCCTTGGAACTATGTATACATAAAACAAATGACTCTTGGTTACACAATGCACTCTTCCCTCCCTGCTCAGCATAGCCTTGTAAGGCTTGGACAGTCAGATACAGTTTA